GGGAAAAAGAAGATGAAGTGATGTGCCAAAAGCCATTCAGTGAATTAGCGGCAGGGCGGGTAACAGAATAAAGATGTCCTGAGTCTGGCTCCCATCTACCCATGGGGCTTGTCTGACCTGGTCATGCTCTGTCTTTACCCTTTCTGTCCCCACAACACTATTGTGAGATAGAGCAGTGCCACTGGCCCCATGATACAGGCTAGAGAGCCAAGGTACAGAGATGCTAAGTGACTTACCTAAGGCCACCAAGGAAGTCTGTGGCAGAGAAGGAACTGGGACACCCGCCCCCCGCAGTGTCCCAAGTCAAAGGCTTGTGCCCTAACCACTGAGCCATTCTACCTTTCCTTCAGTATACATCCATGCCCCTCCTCCTCCTCCTCCTCCTCCTCAAGCTGCCTTCTTGAGAAAGCCACTGGCTGCCAGAAAGCCACTGGCTGCAGCAACAGCCAACAGTGCATGCAGGGAAATTTTGTTCATTCTTTTTTCTTTCCCCCCATTGGCTTTTGTTGTGACTCCACAGGGGGCTTGGAGCCGTTTCCATGAGAAACTCTCTTATGCCAGCTGCCACCTCTGCCCCAGTGCAGCTGAGAATCCCCCCAGCCCTTCCCAGTGGTGCCCAAACTGCCTCAGAGGACACTGCAGCCCAGCTTGTGGTCACCTTGCCACATGCACGGACACAGCCCAACCAGCCAGTTTAATAGGTAGGAGCGAAGCCTGTGAAACTGCTCTGTCTGCCAGCCCTGGCCCCCTGCCCCACTGGGCTGGCCTGCTGGCAGCCCTCTTCTGGTTGCCTTCCCATCTTCTCCTATGCTCTTTCATGAGGCTGCCCAGCCCACTCCCTCCGGGACTCTAGGATGCTTGCATACTCTAGCCCCTTTCCAAACCGGCTGAGTAAAAGTTTCCATCAGTTATGCAAAAATTGGCCTCCCTTCCTGGTAATGTATGTAGGATACAGAGTTTGCTCGCATTTAGGATCACACAGCAGCCACTCTTCCGCACAATGACCCACTCTGAGGGAAATAGCATGCGGCCCTTTGTAGGGTAAAGCATCTAGTGTTAGGCCCTGGGCTGACAATGACCTGCCCTTGCCTCCCCCCTCTCTGCCTCACACCATTTCACCCTTTGTTCTGGGGCTGAGCATTTATAATACTCCTTGTTTTGCACACACGTTTGTTGTTCATTGCCACTTGGCACCTTCATTTTGGGAGGGGTGGTATGTTGATAATGATATGGGGTGCTGGATTGTTGGTGTCACTCTGTGGTCATAGTGTTGTCCATAGGTGTTGGGTGGGTTGATGGATAAGTTTTTGGGGTGCTGGATTGCGTGCATTAGCTGGTTAGTAGGGCTACATGTAAGTGTTGGGGTTTCTGCTGGCAGTAGCTCAGGTCTGCCCATGGTGCCTGGGTGGCAATTGGTCAGCTATTGTCAGACCACTCCTGAGGGTAGGGCTGCGTGTGTTCACTTGGTACCAGAAAAGGGGCTGTTTTGATGACACTCCACGCTCCCCCCACCTCCTCCTGCCCCATGCCCTGTAGGACACAGAATAGCCCTTCAACCTTGTTCCCATCTAAAAGCCTCCAAGTCACTTACTGAGCCCACTCTGCAATGCCCTACATCCCTACGTCAAGGGAGCCATCTTACGCCCTGCCAGTAACATGCCCATTCCCTGGCTGGAGATGCTGGTCATGTTCTAGCCGATATGTGTGCAGGATCTCAGTCACCTGCAGGGCAGCTGCACACCTGTGCCTCTCTTTGATCCTGGAGCATGGACATGTGGCAGGGTGGCTGCTAACAAAGACAGCAGCCTTGGCCGGAGCAACCCCTGCAGAATTCCCAGCTACCAGGAAATCCTCAGCATTGAGCAGTGACAAGGACACTTTACCAATTGGCCAGCAAGGGCCTCAGAGCATTTCACCCCTGGCTACATGACAGTGTCTTAGATTGGCTCTTCCCCAAGAGATCTGTAGCTACCCAGCATGGTAACCACAACAGAGATCTCCTCCCCATCCCCCCCACCCCTTACCACACACACACTTCTATTTATATTTGCTAAGCCTGAGCAGGCAGACGGCACACTGCCAAGGAAACAGCTGCACCTTCTGTGCTTCAGTCTGGGTAGCGCGTGGCAAGAGGGAAAGGGGAGATCTGAAGGACCCTGCTTGGCAGCTCTCATCACACTCCAAAGCCCTTGTCCTGGAGTATCTCCATGTCCAGGTGTCCCAGCTTCATTTGGAAGGAGGAACGGGGGAGCTAAAAAGGCAGTTGCCCAGCATCGCAGCCCCACTAGGAGAAGAGGATTCACCCCATGTGCACAGGCTCCAGTCATAGTCACCTCAGCGTGCAAGTTCCTGGTGTGTTGGCTCTAAGGACTCAAAGGTTGTCATTAGACCCCTCCTTGCCAACTTCAGGAACTGATGGAGGGGTGGTTGGAAATGCCAGGCCCCTGGTGGCCTGCTGCTCTAACTGTGATGTGCTCCCACCTAGGCCCCAAGAAGGGCTTGTGCATCATAGGCGTGCTACACTGAAAGACCTGCATGTGTATGTAACCCACTAATGAGTGTGGTAGCGGGTGTCCTCCATACCCAGTCTGCAGATGCTATGAATTCTTAAAGCCCTCAGTGAGAATTGTCTCTCTAGCTCAAGTGGTTATAGCTGGTGCTTGTATATCTGAAGGATCCTGGCTCAGTTGTTCACAGGCTTGCCTAAAGACAATTATCATAGGTGCACCCATGCTCTTCCAGCGCTGACAGAAAGCCTGGCTAAAGTACTGGAGCTGTGCATTGATCTATTTCATAGATTTCATAGACATCAGGGCTGGAAGGGACCTCGGAAGATCATCGAGTCCAGCCCCCTGCCCAAAGGGCAGGAAGTCAGCTGTGGTCATAGGATCCCAGCAAGATAAGCATCCAGTTTCGTCTTGAAGGTGTTCAATGAAGGCGCTTGAACCACCTCCGGTGGCAGGCTGTTCCAGACCTTGGGGGCTTGGACAGTAAAGAAATTCTTCCTTATGTCCAGCCTGAAACAGTCTTGTAGTAGTTTATGACCATTCGACCTTGTCATCCCTTGGGGCGCTCTGGTGAACAAACGTTCCCCCAGATACTGGTGGTCACCCCTGATAAACTTGTAGGTGGCCATCAGATCACCCCTGAGCCTGCGCTTTTCCAGGCTAAAGAGCCCCAGGGCGCTCAGCCTGTCATCGTAGGGTCTGCTTCCCTGACCTCTGATCATGCGGGTGGCTCTTCTCTGGACTCTCTCAAGCTTCTCCACATCCTTTTTGAATTGTGGAGCCCAAAACTGGACGCAGTACTCCAGCTGCGGCCTCACCAAGGCCAAGTACAAGGGGAGAATGACGTCCCGGGATTTGCTGGAGAAGCATCTATGGATGCAAGCCAGCGTTTTGGTCGCTTTACTAGCCGCAGCATCGCACTGCAGGCTCATGTTCATCTTGTGGTCAATGATGACCCCCAAGTCTCTTTCTTCCATAGTGCTAGCCAACATAGCACTGCTGAGCCTATAAGGATGCTGTGGGTTTTTCTTCCCAAGGTGGAGAACCTTGCATTTATCGGCATTGAACACCATCAGATTCTCGTCCGCCCACTTGCTGAGCCTGTCCAGGTCAGCCTGGATCACCTGCCTGTCTTCTGGTGTGGATGCTTTGCCCCGAAGTTTGGTGTCATCGGCGAACTTGGCCAGTCCGCTTCTGACTCCAGTGTCCACATCATTAATGAAGATATTGAACAGTATGGGTCCAAGGACAGAGCCTTGGGGGACCCCACTGGTCACAGGACACCATGATGAGTGACTTCCATCAATTACTACCCTCTGGGTCCAACCCCGGAGCCAATTTTCCAGCCAGTGGATCATGGAGGACCCAAGGCGACAATTGGCCAGTTTCTCCAAGAGGTGATCATGGGACACCAGATCGAAGGCTTTTTTTTATCTCGGTCATTGCTGAAGACATGCGAACAGGACAGTAGGGTGACTGCTGCGGATCCTATGCAGCACTTCTGCAGCTTGAAAAATCACTAAATCAGGTTTCCTGAGCTCAGTTGCTACTATTGTCAGGTTTGTCCCAAGCAACTGTGAGGCCATCTAGGATGGCTGGTTCTGGTCACTAATGAAGCCAGTGATGGGATTTGTACAAGTTTTGTTTGTTTGGTTTTTTAAAGACATTTTTCATGTTCCAAGCCAAATCAGCCAAATCAAGTCCAAATCCATGAGTCAGTCCAGAACC